ATCTGTCTGTTACTTGGATAAAATAGTAAGAGCGTCTTTCTAAAATTACTGAGCCAGGAACAGTATGTTCCCAGTAACTTTATTTGCCTCACAGATGTATATATGCCTGGCATCATCCGGAGTGCACAGCCTGTTCCCACCCATTTTCGTGAACTGAAGCCCACTACCTTTCCCTGCCTCCATAATTGCATTGAGGATTTGTCTGTGCTTGCCTCCTTAATTTTCTTTAGCAAGGAAGGTTGCACTTTAAAGTTTAAAATAAAGCATCAAAACCCATGACCTCTCATTGTCACTCCTGCCATTCATTACAAATTAAATTGATTATATACCTTTCAATTGTCAAACACTGCCTTTAAATTTTAACAAAAATATGGAATGCTCATATGGAGTACCTTTCACTTGATCTGAGAAAACAATTTAATTTTGAATGAAAAATGATTGATTTATGTTTTGATTTAATATATTTAATAATACTTTTCGATTCAGTTATTAAAATTTACTTTTAAAAATTTTTTTGTCTTGAATTCAAGTTTAAAAATATTAATTTTTTAATTATTGAGTTAATAAGTGTTGTTAGGTGTATTCCATCAAAATGTGTATTAATCATTATCAACTTACGACGTATCAATCAAACAAAAAATAATAATAATAAAAGATGTCAAAAAAAGTTGTTAGGAAATCTAAATGCAGATTGATACACGAATTTTCAATTAAAATTTTCTGGGTGTTTGGATCGCAAAATTTGAATATTGTATTTACTTTATAAGTGAATATTTATTTATTAAAAAATTTAATTTTTAGTATTAAGATATTAATAAAATTGATATATATAAATTTACATGATTTATTAAGCAAAAAATATTAATTATAATTATTATTACCTTAAATTATAAGACTTTTTAATGAAATAAAATTAAGTGTTGATCATTTTCTATCTCAAATTTGCACATAAGTTTGCAACAGAGCTTGTGCATTAAAAAAATTCATGTGAGTCCAATATTAGAAGCAACTTGCACTTAAAAAAAATTAATTGATTCCCTATCAAATTATGGTAAAGTTTTTGTTGGAAAGCAATCCCGAAAACAACACTTGAGACTCTTATTACATGTGAATCGAATGAAAAATCTAAAGAAAACACTCTTTAATTTCATGAATAAGACCTCCTTGCAATTCATTCCATTAATTAACTATAAAAAGAAATTCATAATTTTTTTTTTGTTTTTATGGTAATAGATTACTTTTTATGGAATTTTATGGTAATACGTTAAGCTCATGTTTGAATTGGAGAAAATATAGAGTAGTTAAAAGAAATTTTTTATTAAAGAGCTAATGAGGAATTGTTGTCGTATATATCAAATTTATACTTTAGGTTTTAGGATAATATTTAAGAAATTAATTTTTTTAAATGTACTAAATCAATGTAAAATGATGTAAGAGGTGTATTTTTAAGATTATTAAAGAGATATTTCTCTTTAGGTATATAGAGATTAATTTGAAAACTTTAACTATAAATGAAAAAAGTAAAAAAAAGAAGAAGAAATTTTCAACTAATTAAATGAAGGAGACAAAATCATGCTTTAATTGGTTGAATATTGTTTTATTTTCTTTTTAAAAAAATACTTTTCTCTATTTTAAAAGAAATATTTTTTTAACAATAAAATTTTACTATATAACATAATTTTTATCCATTATTCTATTCTGGGTGTGATGCATAGATTTATATATATATTTATTTAAAACGAATCGGTATCCATGACTCCATGCATTGTAAAATCTATTATACTAGTAGTAAATTTTTATTGTCAGAAACTCATGTAACCAATTATTCCATAAAATAAAAAATAAAATACAATATGCCACTTAATTAATAATAAAAAGTGAGCTTTTTAATGTTAAAAGTTTATTTTTTAATTAATAATTAAAAATAATGTAATGCACAACCCTATAAC